AATTAATGCGACGACGACAAGAACGTTTCGCGTCTTGCTTAATATGCAAAGTGCGTCTGGTTTGCTTCTTTTCAAGCAGCTTCATGTCTGGTCTGGTCTTTAGCTATCGCTACCCGACAAGTTGGCAGCCCCCACTTTATGGCCTGTTTCCCGCAGACTCTTGACACATTCCCATACATAAGCCAAAACCCCTCAACCAGACACGTGCGTGGACGCTGCTCACGATTCATGTTGTGCAACAACGCATTCTATTTGGTTTACAAACCACCCTCTCTTTCTTCCTGTCTCACTCTCTCTGTATCTCTCCCTGTCTGTGACTGCCACCCCCACAACTCCCACTCATACTGGCCTGTGCAGCTTCAGTCCTCGTCTCTCTTAATAACATTTGCAGCCGTTGTCGTCATCACAACTCTGTTTAAATTGATTATGAGCAAATTTTGTAATAAGCTTGAAACATTGTTGATAAAATAATGACACTCAAAGTTACATTTAAAAAATAGGTAAAACGTTTTTGAGTTCGAAATTCGATTGATTATTTTTTTTTTTTGCAAATCATAGAATAAGTTTAAAATCTTATAAAATCGAGTACTAAGAGCTACATAAAAGATGACAACCTTAACTGAATCCTTGTCGGCTATGTTTAAAAAAATCTTCAATGAATAACTGCTTTCTTCAAATATTGACTATATTGAATTCGCTTAAATTAAGATTGTCATGCTAAAAAATGTATATAAAATATTTTGCTCAATAGCTTTGTTGATATTATTTTCGGTGTAACTGCTGTTCAGAAAAAACAGCTAGCTCATCGTCAAATGTAGTGCATAACGAGATTCCACCTGAGACTTCTCTCTCTCTGTAATTGACTGACAGCTGTCTGTGTCTCTCTCTCTCGCTCTTTCTCTCTCTCCCTCTCTCTCTCTCTCTCTCTCTCTCTCTCTCTCTCTCTCTCTCTCTCTGTATCTTTCTTTTGCTCTACCCACTCCTAAACGATGTCACACTTTGTGCGCTCCTGTGGCTTTAACGGTGGCATACGTGTGTTGCCTCGGTCCAGATACTTGGTTTAGTACGTGTATCTGCCGCTGCCTTTGTATTTGTAGCTGTTTCTTGTCACTGTGCCATCAGCAGCGCGTCGCCAGCCACAAGGTGGACAGGTTGCGGTTTCAGTTATCATCATCTGGCTTGCGTTTGACTCTAATTGAATGCTGAATGGGCGGCGAGTTGTCAGAATTGCCTTTTGGGCCCGTTTCGCGTAGGTATTGAATAAAATTTGGTCTCACGATTTGGCTAATTGCATTGCGGCCAAACACTTACATTATTTTGTGTGGGTCTTAGCCCCGAGACGAATCTAATGAATGAGTGGGCAATAACTGACTAAAAAAATTGCAAGAGCTTTATTTACTCTCAATTCTTGCACTGTTTGGCGATTCTCGAACAGCTGTCGAACAGGTTTTCCAACTCGCTAGCATATGTTTGTTTCGATGCGAAGAGCTCTCAAATAAATACGTTTGCAATATTTATGAGAAACACAAAATTATACGAATCATAAGTTCAGCATAGACCCAAACAAACTAATCCATTTCCCATAGAAATGACGCCGGAATCGCGTGTTAGGCAATGGACCTGTGACCTGTGAACTGTGCGTGTTGAGTAGTTGTATTTGTGGGGCGTACTGTGTTTGCTGGGCGTGTCAAAAAACCATATGTGTGTGCCCATATATTGCCTATTGAACTTCAGCGCTTTGTTTTTATTTGACAGGAAATTATTAATTTCTTATTTCCTTTCAGGACCAGGCAGCACCTTTCATAGGTGGGCGTAATTGCGTGTTCTTTTGGGCATTGAATGGGTATGGGTTAATTAGGTGAGGTTGTTAATGGATGGCTGTAAACAGACACATACTTATAAGTATTACATAAGGTGTGACAGGTCACGGGTTTGGTGGATCACCAAATAAAAACCAGGAACGAAACATTAAAGTTTAATAATTATGTGCTCGTGTTTTGCCTTGGTTTCAAATGGGGAAAATAACTTAAATTAAGATGTATTAGTTGAGTTCGAAGTCGATAACTATAGATGATAATACCTTTACCTATTCATTATTGAGCAAGGCATTTAGCAGCAAACTTTGCTTATTTAATTCGGCAAAATTACAGATTTACCTGTAATCTTGAGTTTATTTAAAAAGCATAACAAACCAATTATTTTGTATTTGATATTAGCAGCTAGTCTCAAAAAATATATACACATAATAATAATTTCCTAGCAATTCGCATGTGAATTGCGCAATTTGGCAAACAATCCAACCATTCAAATGATTAACAATAATATCGACAAAGACCAGCAAATTGTATGAACGACGTAACTCGATATTTATGAACCACGTGCTTTTGCAAACCTTTTTCTAGCTTCAAATTGGTTTTCGATTAGTCATACTCTCTCACATATATTTTTGCCACTACAAAAATACATATTTACATACGTATGCTTGTTTATTTGTTTGTTTAGCGCACAATTCATTTGAGTGCGATTGCCGTTCGTTCTACTGTTTGTATACTGTGGCGCCAAGTGAACGGCATTCCCACTCTAGACGCTCTATACATTAGTTCCCACGTAATGCTTACTTGCCCCATGTGGCACGGGTCGGCAACTGCAAAGCGTCTGACCTTAGAGCTGCCCATCAACGCCTCACTGGTTATCATTCTCTTTCGTTTAAATCATTTTTACATTATTTGGTTCCATTTCTGTGTAAATTGTGAGTTGAATCATATATATTTATGCATTTAAGTGGAAAATTGAGCGACAACAGCAACTATAAAAAGCAGCGTGATAATTAAGTTGCCAGTTGTTGTTACTGCTGGAATAAATCGCAATTTGCTGAGCAGCTGTTAACGTCACCAGCATCTTGGTAAGAAACTGCCGGCTTTGAACCGGTTTCATTGCTTGCTTTTGTTTATTTGCCAAAAACTTAAAGCTACTACTAGGGCAAAAACTGACCGAGCGACTTTAATATGGCCGTTAAAATAAAAAACACCTGCCGAAAAGATTTGCGAAAATATAAAAAGAAGATTCCGAAAAGTTTGGAGCCAAAGCAATTGCAGCGTAAAGAAGCAAAGGAAGAAGTTCCAAAACAAAAGCGACCAAAAGAAACAGCTGGTTTCTCAGTCAAAAGGGGGAAACAAGCAAACAGAAGAAAGACAAACACTTTACTCATTATATATTTTGATCTCATGGGGAGACTTTTATGTAAATCTCAAGTGCAATGAGAATTTATATGCCGAATAAAATGATTGGTATAAATAAACAGAATTTATAATTCAAATGAGAATTGATATGCCGATCAAAATGTTTGTATAACTAAACCTAATTTATAATTTTTAAAACAGATTAGTCTACTTATTCTGTGTCCAATCATTTTTCTTCATTCCAGAAAGTGAAACGCAGATGCGTAACAGCTGCAAGATATAATTTGATTCTTCAGCCTTTGTTTGCCATTTTTGCTGGTATCCACATTGATACAATCATATATACAATATATGTATATATATTCATGTCTTCACTTCCACGCAGACTTGATAAGATTCATATGGCCAGCATGTGTTTGCCGTTGCGCATTTTAATAATTTAAAAGGAATTGTTTTTTGCATTCGCAGCGCGTAGAAGCTGCCGCATTTCCTGCATTCAAAAGTAAAGGAAATTTTAAATTGTTTGCCTTATTGAAACTTAAAAAATTAAATAAAAACTTAACGCCCTCAAACTTTAACTAACAAGCAGCTATTAAATGTGGGTGACACACGCAAGGCTCAATTTGTCAGTCATTCTAAAATTGTTACTATTGTTTGTGCTGTTTGTGTTGTTGTCAGGCTAATTAATTCATTTCCATTTGAAATGTCAGAGGAACACGCCGCATGTGGTAAAGTCACTCCCTCGACCAAATCTCATGAGTCGGAATATCCTAATATCACAAAACAAACTTTTATTTGTATATTACAACACACATGTGGCACAGTGGAACAACACAAACAAGCGCTGCCTTGGCCCCACTGTGTGCGCCCAGTTTTTAATTATACTGGCAGCTAATTTGTTTCCGTTCGTGCCGTTTTGTTTTGAAAGACGAGCTGAGTATTAATTAATGCGAGACTGGAAATGATAAATTGGACTATAACGCATATGACCCAAAAAATGCAAATAACACGCAGTTGAGGGACATGTGAAAAAGGCGTTACCCTAAAAGCCAACTTACGTAAAAAATTAAAGTGATATTCATATTAAATTCAAAATATTATCAAAAACCATAACATATGCAATTTGGTAATTAAAGTGCACTCCAGACCTTAAGAGGACGATGGGGAAGATGTCTGCATGCGAATGCATAAAATTGAATATAAAATTGCTTGCAAATGCAAAAAACTGCAAAAAGGTGAAGCAGATGCTTCTTTTTTCCACCTCTGCTCACTCGACCCGGTCTATGGGTCTATGGACTGATCTGGCAGCTTTTTTTTTTGTCATGCTGCAGCTTCCAAAGTGTCAACGAACGATTTTTGCCCAGTTGCCTTTTGTTTGAGGTTTTGCGTTTGTTGTATGTGAATGTGGGTGTGTGTGGAGAGGAAGTGAAAGAACGACCAGTTTTAGCTGTTGCTGTTGCTTTTATTGTTGCTGTTGCCTATGTTGCTTTTGTTATTGTCAGAACAACAACACCGACACACTTCAGCACATACCGATGAGGAGTATGCTGCAGGGCAGACAACTGACAGTCACTGATCCGTGGCATTCAATTGTTGAGCAGAGCAGCAGCAACAACTATGCCACAAAAGCTGAACTGCTGACAATTGGCGACTGACAAATATGACGACAAATACACATACATATATATATATATATATATGCTCGTTGCTATGCATAACTATACAATACAGACACAACTTCCGTTGTGTTTGGCCTCAATGTTCATAGTGTTTTATGTGTTTCTAATTACTTTTACTAATTCTATATTTTTCCCTCTGCAGCCACCAGCACCTTGGCTGCCAATCCACCGGATGCTGACCAGAAAGGACCCGTCTTCCTAAAGGAACCCACCAATCGCATTGACTTCTCAAACTCTACCGGCGCCGAAATTGAATGTAAATCTAGTGGTAATCCTATGCCTGAAATCATCTGGGTACGAAGTGATGGCACCGCTGTGGGAGATGTGCCCGGCCTACGTCAGATCTCATCGGATGGCAAGCTCGTCTTTCCACCCTTCCGCGCCGAGGACTATCGCCAGGAGGTGCATGCCCAGGTCTATGCCTGTTTGGCTCGCAACCAGTTTGGCTCGATCATATCGCGAGATGTTCATGTGCGAGCAGGTAAGTTGTCGGTGTTCTAGAGAGAGCACGAAGGAGTCTACCGAGTGCAGAGCATATCGATTGGATGTTGGTCACATTGTTGGTTACTGCTTCAAGGTACCATAATATTTCAAAGTACCATATGATACTTCAAAATGAGATTCGATGTCAGATGTTCGTTTCTGTATCTTTCAATGTTAATGCTTAAAATATATTTATGAATTATAAAGTGTTAATTTAGCTGACCGATATCTGAAATAACTATAAAAAAGAGACAACCCATTTATTGAAATGAGAACCACATCCAATATATGCTCTGCACTCAAACATCTTTTCAGATTTACAGCAAATTTCAGATCAACGTTGGTTTTAGTTTTTCGACTGTCTACGTTGTTTTGTCAAGGAAACTGTACGAAATTCTGCCTATCTTTTGATAGATTTTGCAATTTTCATTGCCATTTGGCATTTGCCCTCTAAACGGTTTGTTATTTGCTTTTCCGCTAACAAAATGTGCAACACTTTCGGGGCCAGCTTAAAGTGTGAAAATTTTGTTGAAAGCAGCCTAACTTTTTGCACTTGTTGTCTTCTTTGGTCCACCTGCAGTGCTCCAACGAGGTGATTTGCCATATGTCGGGTTTGTTGTCTCTGCAATTTCACTGTAATTAATCGTTGTGCAAGCTGTCGGCCATGATGCTGATGATGGTGATGCAATTGTCGCCTTTCGTCTAACTGGAGCCAGAGTTCGTCAAAGCTCACAAACTACATGTTCAAATATACTTCCCTTCTATACTTTTAGCTTTCGGCAAATTCGCTGTGGAAATCTCCATTACTTCCGCTTGCATAAGCCAGCGTTAATGACTTTTACCTAATTATGTTACAATCATATACATGTGAGCAACCCCTATGAGATCGCCACCTGGCTGCCGTGCTTGCCAAAATGTCAACTGGGATTAGTCATCAGCGGGCTGCTCGTCGCGTCGCTGACGTGTTTGTTGGCAATTAGCTCACCTTAGCCTACAACCTACAGCTCTACTCCTCTGGCCCACTTTTGAGTCGGCTTTAGCTCATTTTTGTCGTTTGGCTTTGCTTAGCATGAGTTCGGCTTGTTTTGCTATTAACTAAGTGAATTTATCATGTTGGGTTAGTGCCAAAAAAATATGTTGAAAGTGGAGAGACCGATGATAATAATGGCTAGCTCAACATAATTTATGCCCCAGCACGGGCTATACCTTCAAAATTTTGGCTTTAATTAATATTATGCTTAAGCCGAGCACGACTGTGATTATGTTTATTTCGCACTTTCCACATAATTGGCCGTTTAATTGTTTTCCGACAAGCACAGGAAATGCGCAAATTGCTTCCAGGAATCGCTTTCAGTTTGAAAAAGTTATCAAGGTTCTACAGTTGTCTAGTCATGCGTGAGAAATTTGTTTGGCCTTATCATAGAGAACATCATCATATATGTATCTAAAACGCACTTCATACCAACAAAAACCCAAACTTTACAGTTGTTGCCCAGTACTACGAGGCCGATGTGAACAAGGAGCATGTGATTCGAGGCAATTCGGCGGTTATTAAGTGCTTGATACCCTCATTTGTGGCCGATTTCGTTGAGGTTGTCTCCTGGCATACCGATCAGGAGGAGAACTACTTTCCAGGCACAGAATATGGTGCGCTGTAACCAAGCAACAACAAATATTATATATTCCCCTAGCATTCGGCATTCTATGCACTATCGATATATAATTAGGTTTAGGTTTACTAAACGCATGGTCAACGATATGAAAATACCATCATTCCATTTCATCATCAATATTTCCTCCATTTTTTATTATATCATCGATTTATTTTGTTTCTTCTATATACGTTTAGTCGTTTCGCAACACTACGAAGAGGATATACATAAGGCGTTTGTCATACGAGGCAATTCGGCCATATTGAAATGTGATATACCATCGTTTGTAGCCGATTTTGTAAATGTTATATCCTGGCATACCGATCAGGAAGAGAATTTCTATCCAGACACTGAATATGGTGTGTGATTTTCACTCTCTGTCTGTCTGCGTGTGTATGTGTGTGTGTGTGTGTGTGCGCTTCTTTCTGTATGTTGCAAAACAGCACTATTTTAACTACATTCAGCAAACTATAATCCCCAACAACAACAACAACAACAACAAAAACAACACACACAGATGAACACAGCACATTCACACTGAATACTTGTGTACAGTTCAAGTACAGTTAACCAACACTAAGTACTAAGTACGACACCAACAACCAACAACACTGGTACACTAATAACTGTAAAATACGAGCCGCACCAAGAGCTAACTCAATTAACCAACACTGGTTAGGTACAGTCTTCCATGCTTCGTCAAGTGTTTCGACTTTGGTTCGTTTCCCTTATTATTGAATATACATTTCTTATTGGTTTCTATTTTTGTTGCCTTATCCATAAATCTTATTTTGCTTTGTGGCTTTTAGTCGTTGCCCAATACTACGATACTGATGTAAATAAGGCGTATGTCATACGAGGAAATGCGGCAGTTCTGAAGTGTGAGATACCCTCGTTTGTGGCCGATTTTGTTAGCGTTGTGTCCTGGCACACGGATCAGAATGAGGACTTTTTGCCAGGCACCGAATATGGTTTGTCCAATTTGTGGTTATGCTCGAGAGTCAAGTTTGCATAGAATTGTAGAATTTTAAGCCCTCTTCCCCCCACCCCTCATTTCCAAAACATAATTTCATTTAATTTTGTATGCATTTGTAATTCCTTCAAAGTATGTTTGGGTTAGTTGCTTGTTTTCTCAGTGCGTGTTTGCTAGCCATTTTCGTAAACTATTATTAACCTTCAGCGCAAAGACTTTCTCAGGGAAGTAAATATATATTTATGTACATCTCATCAAAATGTGCGCATTAAGGTGCATTTAATGCGCCTCTAGCTACAGCTCTCCTCTCGAATGAACCGAACCTCTCACATTTCAATTAGTCTGCTGAAGATGTTCACACGCCCGGAACACGCGAGGTGTTTATCCCATCCCCATAACCCCACCTGCCATGTGCTCTCACCATGTAATGTCTTACCATTTCCCCACTCCCAATTTTTCGTTTAGTTGTGCAGCAGTTCTACGAGTCTGAGGTTAACAATGAGTATGTCATACGAGGCAATTCGGCAGTGCTCAAGTGTTCCATTCCATCGTTTGTGGCAGATTTTGTGCAGGTGGTGTCCTGGCAAGATGAGGATGGACAACTCTATGGCACACTCGACGAGCAACAGGGCATGGGTACATTAACTAATCAACCGACTCCTAATCTCGTATATCTATAGGACTCTAGCAAATCCAATTCCCCCCATCAAACCACTTATTTGACAATTCTGTTTTCATTTCTTTGCTTCTACAGTGCGTGGTTTTTCTCGCTTTTTCTGTAGTTCGTTTGTTGTTTGCTATTAAGAACTTCTTCAACATTTTTACAGTCGTCAATCAGTACTACGAAGCAGAAGTTGTCTCGGAATATGTTATCAAGGGCAATACGGCGGTCTTGAAATGTACCATACCCAGTTTTGTCGCAGACTTTCTGCGCGTTGAGGCCTGGGTAGCCAGCGATGGCACGGAATATATACCGCAGGATAATTTTGGTAGATTCCCCCAGCTATTGTCATTTGTTGTTACCTATAAGCAGTGTTTCCCCCATACCCAATTCCTGATTCCATTAACTATACCACCTATTTCAATTGCTATAGCTTTTATTTGCATTTTCCATTCGTCATCCAGTTGTTAATCAGTTTTATGGCGCCGATATTTTAATGGAGTATGTCATCAAGGGCAATGCAGCCGTTTTAAAGTGTTCCATTCCATCGTTTGTGGCTGATTTTGTGCGTGTTGAGTCGTGGATTGATGAGGAGGGCACCGAACTGCGTTACACTGATAATTATGGTATTACTTAACATCAACGTCTAGTCTAGTCTACATAGTTGTTCTAACTTTAACCGGGGATTCCAATAACCAAAATACTTTCCAACTTACTTATGATTTCTTCTTTTACGCTTATTTCAAAAATCAATTTGCAGTGGTCAATCAGTTCTATGAGGCCGAAATAATGACCGAGTATGTAATTAAAGGCAATGCGGCCGTTTTAAAGTGTTCCATTCCATCATTTGTGGCTGATTTTGTTCGTGTCGAATCTTGGATTGATGAGGAAGGCAATGTCTTGACCTTCTCCGATAATTATGGTGTGACTCGCATTTATATTCGTAGATCTATTGGATTAAAGTCTTAGGTTTAAGATAGCATCCATCCCCAACTGAATTCCACAATTTATATGTTATTTTGCTTATGTTTCATTTACCACCTGTTTCACGCACAGTTGTCTCACAGTTCTACATAACCGAGGCCGAGAATGAATATGTTATTAAGGGCAACGCGGCAGTGGTCAAATGTAAGATACCTTCGTTTGTAGCCGACTTTGTGCAAATCGAGGCCTGGGTGGACGATCAGGGGGTCGAATTGTGGCGTGAGAATTCAACGAGCGCCTATGGTACAGTCTAAACAAAACACATATGATAACTAGTTGTTAATTTTAGCTTAGTTTTCCCAACACTCACCTCCACTTGTACTTTAATTTTCTTTGTCAAACACTATTTTGCTTCAGTTGTCATCCAATCCTACGAATCGGAGGCTGATAATGAGTATGTTATTCGTGGCAACTCTGTAGTTATGAAATGTGAGATACCCTCGTTTGTGGCGGACTTTGTATTCGTTGATCTCTGGCTGGACTCAGAGGGTCGCAATTACTATCCCAATAATGTTAAGGAGACGGGTACTGTTGATGCTCAATCAATTGATTTCCAATTTCTAATTAATACTCGTATATGACCCGATGTGTTCCAATTCCAAGCGTGTTTCCTTTTATCCATTTAATTTCACAATTACTTTAATAAGTTCGTTACTCTCTCTCTCTTAGTTGTGCATCAGTTTTATCAGACACGCGTCATCGATGAGTTTGTGCTGCGCGGCAATTCTGCCACATTGAAGTGCCTGGTGCCCTCATTTGTGGCCGATTTCATAGATGTTGAGGGTTGGCTAGATGAGGAGGGTGTGGAAATAACACGTCCACTACCCGACGAATCCACGGGTAAAACATGGGTTTACAGCTTATGTTAAGCTCTAGTCTAGTTTTTTAGTCCCGAACTCTCTCTGTCTCTCATTCTCGTATTCCTTTAACTTTTACTCCAACATTTTGCTTTGCTTTTTCTAATCATGTTTCGAATCCCCCACATTTGCCATATTCCAGTGGTCAAACAGTTCTTTGAGTCGCAAGTATACGATGAGTATGTCATCAAGGGCAATGCAGCGATATTCAAATGTCAGACGCCATCGTTTGTGGCGGATCACATCGATATAACCGATTGGATTGATACCGATGGCGGTGTCTATACCAAGAATATAACGGGTACAAACACTTTTGAGTATCATATTGCCATTTGTAGAAACATGAAGGGGACCATTATCATTATGATTTATCCTAAATTTAATACTCAATACCCGACCAACTCTCCCTCTCTCGAACAATTTGCAGTTGTGCCACAATCATACAGCGTCAATGTCATGGATGAGTCCATTTTGCGGGGGAATAGCGCAATTTTAAAATGTCATATACCCAGTTTTGTTGCCGACTTCATTGTGGTCGCATCGTGGGTTGAGGACGAGGAGCGTGAGATATATCCGCAGGCCGATGTCACAGCTAGCGGTAAATCACACTAGCTTTTAAGTTCTCTAAGCGTTAGCCTTGCTTCTAAACACACCAACATAATTAAATCCCGTCCAGTTCAATTCCAATTGCCAGCTTGTTGAACGATCGCCACTCAGTGATCCTTGGTCCTTGAGTTTCTCTAACAGGTCCCTAAAAATAAACTACTGCGCTGTTAGGCATTCGATTACTTTATTCTTTGCTTTCAATTTCACTTTCTTTTCTGTTTACTCTTCTTTTTTTTCCGCCCCTCCAAATCTCTACTTTTTATTTTGACATCCTTTCCCGCATTCCCTATAAACTCCAAGAGTCGCTCCTGACTTGCCCCAAACACCATTTACCCCTTCATGTAGTTGAAAGTAGCGTTGTTTTGTAGCCTAGTGTAAATAGTTTCATGTAAATATGTATGAACAAAAATGCTAATAAATCTCTCTCATCAATTTGTACATATGTATAAATTTTTATCATATATGTAGAATAACCCAAATGGCTGTTTAACAAAACATCATCATTTGATAATACGCATCAGCTAAAATTATTGGCATTTTTGTTGAAGCATGAACATATCATTATACAATCGCAAATAAATTGTAGGAAATATTTATGCTTATTCATAATTTGTTTACAATACTATGTTGAATTGCCTTATGTGTGAATATTTCATCCAGAATCATAGCATATTTCCTGCAATTTCTTTTCGATTTGAACACTGCTTGCAATGGTTTATAGTTAATTATAAGTAAAAATATTTTGAGCAGACTAATTTATTTGAAAAAATAAAAAACACATAAGAAATGTAGTCTGAACAGAATATTGTTTGTTTTTGTACGGCTGAAATTTAAAGTAAATACCTAATATAAATTATTGTAAATATTCGAATCGAATTTAACTCGGTCTTCAGCTTTGCATCAACATACGTAAATGTAAATAGCTTTAAAATTAATATTACACACAATTCGCATTTGGAAAGTCACATTGCATGATATTAACAAATTACACAATTCTTTTAGTGGCGCAATACATCAAGTTCAAAGACAATAAAGAAAATATATCTGTATATAAATGCTTTATTCAAAGCTGTCATGTGGCTTTCGAATGCGAAGCGAACAAATTCAATTAAAGTATCGACTTTAATTGAGTTTTTTCAATTGTCTATAGAAAGTATGTTGTTGTATGGTAGCTTAAGTTAACCCATGAGCCCCATCACTAATATATTTTTTTATTAACTATCTTTCAACACAAAACAATATAAATTAGACGGCAAATATCTTGTTCTGCCATCCGGCGAGCTACATATCCGTGAAGTTGGACCCGAAGATGGCTACAAGAGTTACCAGTGCCGCACCAAGCATCGTTTGACTGGAGAGACCCGTCTGAGTGCCACTAAAGGACGTCTGGTCATCACAGGTAAGTCGGCCTTGTTTGCCAATTACTTATTATCTGGCATGATGAACTTTAGCTATCTGTTCTGTTGGGATTTATTATATTTGATATTCCGAGAATTATAAACTAAAAATCATCACATAAATTTATAATATGTATGGATAATGGGTATGTCTTTAATCTGTACCATCTAAGACTATAATCTACTCATATATTTCTATAATCTTTGGTACAATATTGAAATATAAAATAAAAATTCACTTTAAACCTAATTTCTTAGGAAAAATATGCATTAACATCTAGTTCAACCAATAAACGTATAAATCTCCCAACAGAATGATAACTAAGGTTTTCCCAACTCTAAGTAAATTTCATACAGATCTGAAAATCAACTGAATTATACATCGAAATAACAATAAAAGTTATTTCTTGTTGTAACTGTATGAAGTTTGTTTAGTTGTAAAATAAATAAAAGTATTAAACCTAAAATGTGAAGCTAAAATGCTTTTAATTTGGGTTTTTTGACTTTCAATAAATATTTGGAATGTTTTCAAATCCGTCAAAAGTATTCATTTAAAGATTTTTAAAACAATAACTTATTTACATTTTAAACTACAAAATATATTCCAAATATTTAAAGTATATCATGAAAACGGAGTATATAATTAATTAAATAATGGATATATCCTTTTTCCTGCTATGCTTTTCACTGTAACTCAGTATTACATATTTGAAGAGCAACAATATTTTGATGCAAATTGATGTTATCCAATATTCAATCAAAAAGATTTTTCGCTTAAAATCTATTTCTTTGTGAGGATAAGGCACATTTTTTGAACTACAACAATTTATTCTATATAAGTGCGGCTGGTCAAAAAATTGTTGCTCGCTTTGTACTAAATTGAAAACTGCCTGAATGTTGGGATAGGGTACTCGACAATGCTATGAGCTTGAAATAAAGCCAAAAACTAGATAACTTATTAGTCATATTTGGTCCGTTTGAATAAACAGCTTACTAAAGCAAAACCTTACCAGGGTGATTTTTGATTAAATATTTCCCAAACTCTTTTCGCCTATGCGCCCAAGGTAAGTGCCAACAAACAAATAGTTCTATTCATAATTTATCGCAATAATATGCAAACCAATAAATTCATTTTCCATTTGCAGAACCAGTTGGCAGGGTTTCACCAAAGTTCCCAAACACACTGACAAGTAGCAGCTTCACGACTGCCGCCAATGATAGCCTCACTTTGCTGTGCCCCGCTCAGGCCTATCCAGCGCCATTATTTAGGTGGGACTTGCCATCCTTGGCATCCTCTGTAAACTAGACCCAACTTTGGACAGTTTTCGTTTGCCTGCACAGACAGTTGTATTTCTTTAATATGCTACTCTTTCAAGAACCCATTGCAAGTGTTGGTCCACGTCTGCTTTCTGGCAATGATATTAAAGTTGTGCAATATGCCTTCAAGCAAACAATTACGTTACTTTGTCCTGCACAATCGTATCCTGTGCCGATGTTTAGGTAAGACTTATCCCAACGATAGGCAGTGCCAGTCGAACTGCATACAATATGAGTTTATCCCTATCATTAGAACCCGTTGGTAGTGTCGGACCTCGTCTCACCAGTGGCGATGAGTCTCGCATCCTTAAAGTGCCTTTGGAGCAGAGTGCCACGCTCTTATGTCCCGCCCAGGCGTATCCGGTGCCCTTCTTTAGGTAACCTAGCCCAACATTTAGACCATCTTTTAATAGAAATGCATTTTTCAAAACTTTCAATTATTGTTTTTTTGAAGAACCCGTGGGAAGTGTTAGTCCAAAAGTTACGTCTGGCGATGATGCCATTAAAATTCCCAAAGTTTTATTGGGTCAAAGTGCAACTTTAATGTGTCCAGCTCAAGCGTATCCAGTGCCCTTCTATAGGTAAACTACACCCAACATTTAGGCACAATACTTTCATGTTTCATGTTGCTTACACATTTATACCCGATTAGAACCCGTTGGTAGCGTTAGTCCACAGTTGAGTGGCAATGGCAATCAGGAGCATATAACGCTTACTCGAGTTCCGCTAAATCAGAGCGTAGCGCTAATGAGTCCAGCTCAGGCCTATCCAGTGCCCTTCTTTAGGTAATGCTCCATATCCCAACATAGGGCATAGTTATCATATAGATTGATATAATATGTTCATATTGCTCTTCTTAAGAACCTGTTGGTAGTGTTGGTCCAAAACTAACCTCGGGCGATGATTCAAGGACCACTAAGGTTCAGCTTTCTAATAGCGTTACTTTGCTCTGTCCCGCTCAGGCTTTTCCAGTGCCATTCTATAGGTAAGATATCTTGGGAAATATCCCTATTCCTAATTCAGGCAGTTTTTGTTTTTCAAGTGCTCTTTCTTTAACACGACTTTCCCATTTGCAGAGCCAGTTGGCAGTGTTAGTCCTAAAATAAATACAGGAGAGGATTTTAAACACATTAAGGGCAAGAGTGCTCAAGATTTGAGTCTATTGTGCCCCGCTCAAGCATATCCTCAGCCTTTCTATAGGTAATAAAAGAACCCTAAAGGCAGTTTTCAAGTTTCGTCTTCCATAGGTACAATGAATATATCTATATATTTCGATTACAGAACCCATTGGTAGTGTCAGTCCCAAAATATCAAATGCCGATGATTTGAAACATGTAAAAGTTAAGAACTTGCATAGCTTAAGTCTCCTATGTCCAGCTCAAGGATATCCACAGCCAGTTTATAGGTAAAGTTTGTCTTAAAGTACTAGCCCAACATCTCAGCTGTTTCATAGAAATTTCTCGGGAGTTTCGTTTATAAGCCATTTACATATTTCAGAGCCTGTTGGAAGTGTAGCACCCAAGTTGAATTTTCTCGAGCGCTTTAGAATGATGCAAATTCAGGGTGGTACCAGTTTCAATATACAGTGTCCAGTGCAGTCATATCCCATGCCTGTTTTCAAGTAAGACAACGCATCGACAACCCTTATTCTAAACCAACATTCAGTTCTTGATTAGCCATAGCATCATTTAAGTTAATTACGCTTTTTAGAGCCCGTAGGCAGCGTGCGTCCGAAAGTCAACCCCCAAGACAAGCATCAGTTTATAGACGTGGAGCTTAACAACAGTTACTCCCTGCTCTGTTTGGCACAATCCTATCCAACGCCCGCATTCAGGTGGGTGGTCGTGTCGTTACCTCATCCCAAATTAAAGTATAAAGTTCTCTGGTGCAAGTCCTGAAAAGAAGAATTTCCATGTCTGTGTATTGTAGAACCCGTTGGCTCCGTCAAGCCCAAAATAAATGTACAGGACAAACTGCAGACACGCGAGATAGCTGAGCATGTTGGAATCGCCCTACTCTGCCCGGCCCAATCGTATCCTATGCCTGCCCACAGGTACTACTTTGAACAAAAATAAATTATGCTGCATGTCTTGAAGCAATTTCGGTAGCTTGGAATTCTGTAAATTGTCCAATTTATGGCGTGTTGACCAAGAGGCAGAATTTTTATTACAGACAATATAATTAAAGTGATTATTTCGTTAGACCCATTTCCTCAACGACCAGCAGGCAAGAAGGCAGGCAGTTTTCAAATGAAAAACTGTTTAACATTGTGTTGTTTACAGAACCTATAGGCAGTGTTCCACCCAAGGTGAGCATAGCCGATGAGTTATCCAATACGAGAACTGTACTGGGAGCCAGCTTTAGCCTGAAGTGTCCAGCACAGTCATACCCCATCCCGGCATATAGGTATGATAAACATTCAGGCAGTTGGGAAACATCCTGAGTACGCATCATCTTTTCAGAACCCATTGGTAGCGTTCCACCCAAGGTTAGCATAGACGATGAGGTGGCCAATGCTCGTGCCTATGTGGGAAAGAGTTTAAGCCTCAAATGTCCGGCACAATCATATCCCATACCCGCTTATAGGTATGCCTAACCTCAACTCAACATTCAGGTGTAGTCTTTAGTTCGCAAGTCCTAAGTTTAATCCCATTTAGAGCCCGTTGCCTCTGTGCCACCCAAACTGAACCTGCTCGAGAGAGTGCGCACTATGGAAGTTCCTTTGGGCACCGAATATGCCATGCAATGTCCGGGTCAAGCATTCCCAGTTCCCATTAACAGGTAATGACCCAAGTCCCAACTTCAGGTTACTTTCAACTGAGCACTTTGAAAAGTTTTGTATAAATATTAATATTTCAGAACCTATTGGCTCCGTTCCTCCGAAAATCCTCAATATCAATGATAAATTTCAATTGATGCAGGTCAAGTTGAGCTCCAATTTTGCTATGCAGTGTCCCGGACAGGCTTATCCAGTTCCTGTTGTTCGGTTAGTTTTGCTGATCTAGCTTAAGAGTCCCATCCAACATTTCGGGTTTCGTTTGGGATAAATGTAACTTGATTTTATACTATCTTCTTGTAACAGAACCCATTGGCTCGGTACCACCAAAAATTACAAATCTCCACGACAAGTTTCAGTTCGTTCAAGTCAAACTGAGTGAGAATTATGCTATGCAATGTCCTGGCCAAGCATACCCAGTGCCAATAGTTCGGTTAGTTTCAACCCTAAACCAACATTTATGGCAGTCTATCACTCATAATCCTTAATACTTTCTTATAGAACCAATAGGGTCTGTGCCACCAAAAATTACGAGTCTGCACGATAAGTTTCAAGTGCTACAAGTAAAGTTATCTGAAGATTATTCCATGCAATGTCCTGGACAAGCATATCCAGTGCCTATAGTTAGGTTAGTCCACAAATAAAAATATCTTATGGCAACATTCAGTTCTCTAGTTTAAATTTAGATATTTAAGCATAAGTTCCTAAGCTTTTTACTCCTTTCAATTTGTAGAACCCGTTGGATCTGTAGCCCCAAAAGTTGATACAAGAGATGAATTTACCTTTGCACGAACAAAGCTTGGTTCATCTAAGGCCCTCATTTGTCCAGCTCAATCGTATCCTATGCCAGTGTTTAGGTAAACCACATTTTCGGGTTTGTTAGGAATCCTTCCCAACGTTCAAGCTTAGTTTTCATTCCTTCAATCTCTATATACCAATTCATTTGTTCATCTCGTAGAGCCCATGGGCAGCGTGGCGCCCAAAGTTGATATCAAAGATGAGATAAACTATGCTCGTGTAGCTCTCAATCATAGTCTGGCGATAGTTTGTCCAGCTCAATCCTATCCAGTACCAGCATTTCGGTAAGCTTCCTTTCAGCATTCAGGCAGTCTGGGATCCCGTTGGGATATTTTTATTAAGATTCAATAATATTGCAGAGCCCGTGGGCAGTGTGGCGCCCAAAGTCGATCCCAATGATCGCATAAAATGGGTAGATAAACCCAAAGATAGCGCCCTGAGTTTACTTTGTCCAGCCCAATCATATCCGATGCCAGCTGCACGGTAAGGCACAATCTCAGGCAGTTTTCAATAGATCTCTTTCCGTAGACTAGTGGTTAAAACTCTTTAAGTTGTTTGCAGAGCCTGTCGGTAGTGTGGCGCCCAAGGTGGATGTTAAAGATCGCATAACATGGCTCGACAAGCCCTTGGGGCAGGCCTTGAATTTACTTTGTCCAGCACAGTCGTACCCCATGCCTGCCTACAGGTACATATTAGTGCAGTTTTCAATGATCCATATGAAATCCCTAAAAAAATATCCTTTACAGAGCCCGTTGGTAGTGTTGGTCCCAAAGTTGATATGCATGATAAAATGGATTTTGTGATAAAAGGTTCAAACACTTCGCTAAATCTATTCTGCAAAGCTCAAGGCTATCCAATGCCGGCCTTTAGGTATACACTAAACCCATTCAGGCAGTTAAACTTTTTAGTGATATTTGCTTTATTTATATGGTGTTTTTGTTGTTGTAGAACCCATTGGCACTGTGGCGCCCAAAGTTGATTTGAAAGATAAAGTTGCAATTTCTCTGGCAAAGCTTCGCTCACAATTGAGTTTAATATGTCCAGCTCAGGGTTATCCTATGCCAGCATTTAGGTAAGCGAACTCTATACCAGCAAAATGCATGATTATTGATTTAGAATGACTAACAGTATCTAATTGACACCGCAACAGAACCTGTTGGATCTGTTGGACCCAAGGTGGACATGAATGATAAACTAAAGTTCTCGTCAAAGGAATCGAATGCTTCCTTAAGTATTTTGTGTCCTGCTCAGGGCTATCCAATGCCCGCATTTAGGTAAGCTTAACATTCAGGCAGTTTTCTAATTGGGCTATAGGAGATGTGTAAAATGTAGGAACTTTCATTTCCAGAACCCGTCGGCTCTGTGGCTCCAAAAGTTGATATTAATGATAAAGTCAAAATATCCATAATCAAATCGAGTAACTCCTTAAGTTTGGTCTGTCCAGCTCAGGGCTACCCAATGCCGGCATTTAGGTAATCTAATATGCTCGAGTACCTTTTGACCTAATTAAGCAGTTTTAGTTTGTAGCTTACCTAAAAAGAATGAATTACTTTTTGTTAATTGCAGAACCGGTTGGCTCTGTTGCGCCCAAAGTAGAAATTAAGGATAAAGCTGGCATATTCTTAGCCAACGCTGAAAACTCTTTGGCTTTGCTTTGTCCCGCTCAATCGTATCCAATGCCCGCATATAGGTAATGCTCAGATTAAATATTTTGAGAGTTACAACTAGACCCAAAATTCAGGCTGATTTCAATATACTATGAGCTTCATTTCGATTGAAAAACGATTTTCTCTGTTGCAGAGCCTGTGGGCAGCGTCGCGCCCAAAGTTGAAATTAAAGATAAATTGGGAATTTTTCTGGCCAAATCAAATAGCTCGCTGGCTCTATTGTGTCCGGCACAGTCTTATCCTATGCCAGCGTTTAGGTGAGAGACTTAGACTTAAGCTCATCCCATGCATTCAGGCTATTAACTTCTTGTGGTTAAAATCTAAGTCAAGTCAATAACTTTTACAGAGCCGATTGGCAGCGTTGCGCCCCGGGTTAATCGCAAGGATGAGTTCAATCATGATCGCATTAGCAGCTCTCAGGCGATTGCCATACAGTGTCCTGCACAATCATATCCCGTGCCGGCCTATAGGTAAATCAACAGTCGAGTATCCTTTCCCACGCAAGTTGTTACTTGCAGTCTTCTAGTTGATAGCATACCTTTGTTTGCTCCCCCAATTCAAACTAATCTTGCAGAGCCTGTGGGCAGTGTGGCACCACGAGTCAACAAGCAGGATGGCCTCACACGCGACAGCATTCGTTTTGGCCAAACTGTTGCCATCTTTTGTCCCGCCCAGGCGTTCCCGGTGCCATTCTATAGGTAATTCTAGCTAGGCCAACACTTATTGTGCGTCAAGTCCAAAAGTTCTCCAATTATAACTCAGGCATAACAAAGTATTCAAGCATCATTGGCTGCAAATTTGTAATTAGTTTTAAGCCAGCAACCCATTCCTCCCTCAAACATTCGCATGATTAAACCCATTCATAATGCTGCTGGTCAAACAATGTCACACAATTGTTGTGAAGGGATTAGTCTACACTCAGGAAAATACATAACCTAATCCTAAAAGTCAAATAAAATGATAGAAATTTGGCAGAAAATTACATTCGTTTTCTGAAGTTTGTAAAGCAAAAAAGTTTCTAAGCATTTTGTATTATTTATTACTATTCCGTATTTCGAAATATATTTTGTTCTGAGTGTATAAACTGTCTTCACAGCCCTCACTCAACTCAGAGCACTTCAAATTTCAATTGTTCTCACACCGCTCCAACATTTTAGACAGTTTTCAAAGTTTGCAACTTGAGCCGTGTATTGTTTTAACATTAATAAGTTGTTCAATTTAAGAGCCCGTTGGCAGCGTGCCGCCCAAAATAAGCGTTGGGGAGCGTCGCAAGGATGCCGAGGTGGCCTTAAGGGGGGATCTGAGCATCTTTTGTCCCGCCCAATCATATCCAGTGCCAGCCTATAGGTAAAATGTTATTGAAGACCACAAACTCAGTGCAGTTTTCATTTTGTACTTAAGTGTAGTTTTCATCTGAAATTAATTCACACAATTTAAACTCTCTACATAGAACCTGTTGGCTCTGTTGGCCCCAAAATAAGTGTTGGGGAACGTCTCAAGGATGCGGCTGCTCAACTCCACTCGACATTTACGCTATTTTGCCCAGCCCAATCCTATCCAGTGCCGGCTTTTAGGTAAACTTTCTAGCGCTTA